AGTTCATCCCCTATTAGCATAGATATCAGTGTTGCATCTACATTAGTAACATGCTTTTTTTTTTTTCTTTTTCTTTTTCTTTTTTCATCCCCTATTAGCATAGATAGCAGTCTTGCATCTACATTAGTAACATGCCTTTTTCTTTTTCTTTTTTCATCTGCTATTAGCATGGATAGCAGTGTTGCATCTACATTAGTAACATGCCTTTTTCTTTTTCTTTTTCTTTTTTTTTTTTTCTCTTTTGTTTACACTATTTTTGTTTAGGTTTCATATGTTTCANGCAGTGTTGCATCTACATTAGTAACATGCCTTTTTCTTTTTCTTTTTTTTTTTTCTCTTTTGTTTACACTATTTTTGTTTAGGTTTCATATGTTTCAACTTCTAATGCACTAGCTCCTCAGTCTCTCGAGTTGCAAGAGATATATTTTTAGTTTTATTTTACGGACAAGGTTGTGAAGAGCTAGCATTTCTCTATTAGTATTTGTCTCGTATTGGAATGTGTTTTGAGCTATACATTTGATTTCAATGCAAAATGGTAACCGATGCATAAGTACTTATATTTTATTTGAAGCAATGGAATTGAAAAGATGAAAAGTTTGAATGAAATATAAAACATCATAATTGATAAAAAAGAAAAAGAAAAAAAAATAAGAATGATAAAAAAGTAGTGGATTAGTTTTATTTCCAACTCACTAAACTCTATTCCTCTAAAATTAGAAAGAAAAATATATGAAAAGTTAATTATATATGTTGAAACATGTTATTTACCTTTATTTCTTTTATTATATGTATATATTATATTTATCTATTATACATTATGCATATTAATTTCATCGTTCCACTTTTCTATTCTACCAAAAACACAATAATAATAATAATAATAATAATTCTTTTTATTTTTCACCTTTCTATCAAACACAAAAGATAGAATTAATGATTCGTCTCTTTAAGGATGAAAAGTGTATTACTTTCACTTTCTATCCTTCTATTTTTCTATTCATCTTACCAAACGCATCATTAGAAATGTGATAAATCATTAATTTAAGTAGTGTGCAACGAATGATGTTAATTAAAGTTTGATAAGCTTTAGCAAAAAATATTTGAATATGAATAATTTACTGGTCTTCCCTTGAAAATCTGGAAAGTTACCACAAAAAAAAGGTGAAAGGACATCATTTTTGAATGTCTTATGCGATCTCTCTTCTTCTCTCTCTTCTGATAGAACATAGACTACTGAAATTATAATTAGAATTGCTATTGCTTTGCTGAGAGGGTGAATCTCGATTAACGATAAGATTATTTCATTATAAATCAAATGTTAAGGGTTTTAGTATCATAAACAATCTTTTCATGTGTAAACTAAGGATGTATACATCTTACTTTCTCCAAATCTCATAATTACATGTCTCATACATTGTGGACACTCTTTTTGTGTTCATTTTCCTATCTTGAATATATCCCTTCACCTACCAGTTTGTCCATGTCTGAGCAAAACTCTTGTTCGGTATAGAAGAAAGACTTTTAAATAACAAGAAGAAGACGTAAGGAACCATCATCTTGTTCAGAATTCGAAGTAACAAACATGTCTGCTTGCGGCACTTGTTGAGGAAAAATTGTCCATACTTCCCCTATTCTTCTGCAGAAAACCAGAGAGACATGGTGAGAACTAGGAATGTTCTCTCCTTCAACGTTAACGCCGCTTTATTTTACTTCCCTCCCCCCCCCTCTCTCTCTCTCTCTCTCTCTAGATATATAGAGACAAAGAGATGGATTAGTTATTTTAGTCTTTACCTAATCTTTCGTAACTAGGTTTTGCACTGATTAAATTTGTTAAGATTCACTATTTATTTAATGATTGTAATTATAAATCTATTTTTTAAGTTTAATTTTTAAATTTATATAGCATTAGTTATTAATCAGGCCACGTGATGTTGTCACGTCGGAGGACCAGCCTTGAAAAATCACCCACAGAGAGAGATCATTATTATCTGGTGTAAATCAATAAACACATTGCTTTTCAAAGCTCTTTTATCGAACATGAAGACACTAAAAACGTTGGGTTTTTTGTGACTTACATGCATGGTTTAAGAAACCAAAACCCTAAAAAAATCTTTGATATTTATGTCAACATGTTCGATTAATCTTTCCTTTAAGATGGGCTTTGGCGCAACGATAAATTTGTTGCATTATGATTTGGGACTTAAGGGTTTAAACTCCAAAAATAACCTCTCTTCATACGAGATAAGGATGCATTCATCTTACCCTTCCTAGATCTCGCAGTTGTGAAAGTTTTGTATATTAGGCTGCCCATTTTATTTATTTTTTGATTTATGTTACTTAATCTTGATCCATAGCTTGTTTACATTGGAACTTACTTTGAAGGGTTTTGAAAATGAAAAATAGTTGATTTTTTTAGCTTCTGAAACCAAGCAAATTCTGGCAAAAAAAAAAAAAAAAAAAAGCAAAGTAATAAACCACGTTTTTTAATGAAGAGATTAACAAGAAAAGAAGGCATTAATTAGTTCATAACCTTGTCCTACGCCCACAGGAAACAAAGGCATCCATGCAAACTGTGAAAGTGACACTGCAATTTGGAATCAGTCAATCATAAAAGAGAGAGGGAGAGATAGATGAAAGTCGGGCCGCCTGGTCCCTGCACCCAAAAATTCATCAGAAGTTAGGCAACACACCTTATCAAAAGTGTACTGGTCTAAATATTTGGGTTTCATTTATTGATCGAATCATGCATTATTATTAACTCGATAATGAAGTCAAATATCTTTTGAATTCACTTTCACTTTTAATTGTAATGGATTAAGTCTATCAATAAGTTAGCAAATTTAGTCTACANACAGATAGATGAAAGTCGGGCCGCCTGGTCCCTGCACCAAAAAATTCATCAGAAGTTAGGCAACACACCTTATCAAAAGTGTACTGGTCTAAATATTTGGGTTTAATTTATTGATCGAATCATGCATTATTATTAACTCGATAATGAAGTCAAATATCTTTTGAATTCACCATCACTTTTAATTGTAATGGATTAAGTCTATCAATAAGTTAGCAAATTTAGTCTACACAGTATTATTGCCATAAAATATAACTAAAATCCCGCACTAAACTCACCAACCGTATAAAATCTGAGTTTAAAAGTGTGGAGTCTATAGATAATTATTTACATTCGAGACATGCACTACGATTATTGATGTAGAACATATGACAGTAGATTACCTAGAGCTGAAGGATCATTGTGCACTCAAAACGCAATGGAAGGGTATACAATGATAGTAGAGGCCAAATGGTCGGATTCAAAATTAAGCGAGCCGGTGCCATTGATCTGAATCAGGTCAATGATTAAAACTTATCGTTTTGTCATGACTTCCATCAATTTTGAGATCAATTCCATCATTTAGGCCCTTAAATCTCTATAAATTTTGAATTTAGTGCCGTCAATTTCATTAAACTCAAAATAACACATTATTTTATGTTAATTAGTTATATTGCAATTTTTTTATATTTAATACTTTTCATATAATTAGGAATTTTTTCTACATAAGAAATGATTAGGATTTTGTCCTTTTGACATGTTTTTCTTATGTACTACATATTCCTCACCGAATAATACCATATTTTTAGTTTTATGAAGATTCTTCGCACAAAACAATAACAATTTTTGGTGTCATTTGTTTACCACTGCGTCAACTATTAATTTTAAAAAAACATGTAATTGAAACAATTCCTGTTAAGAAAAAATTATAAAACTGCTGTAAGGAAAAATAAAAAAATATTTTTATTTTGTTTGAAAAATTATAAAACAATTCCTGTTAAGGAAAAATATTTTTTTGTTTGAATTATTGGATCAAAAAGGGGAAATAGCGGTAGCCACACTATTATTTTATTCCTATGCTTAAATCGCAGCCACTACCAAACAGGTGACACCAACTAAACAATATCCATCTCAAGTCATATTGGTGCAAACTTCGGTGACAGCCCATTCCAAATGATGTGACAGTAAAATAGTTATTCGTTTGATTCTACTTTTACTTGTTTAAAGTATAATGTTAGTCCGTATATGTTAAAGTTAAATACTTATCTTACTCTAATCTCTATTAATATATAATTAAAATTTTTAGAGCAAATAATACTTTAACATGGTATCAAAGTCGAAAGACCCGAGGTTAAATCATACTAACTGGCCAACATCTCTTTCTTTACTAGAAAAGGAAAAAAAAATCCTTTGGACCTGGTAGAGGGCACACCTCAAAGACATGTTTGAATGACTTTGGTTAGGAGGATTGGATCCCTTTTACCAAACTCTCTTCCAGCCCCAACTCTCACTTTTTTGTGCATGAGATTTATGGACTATTTTATATTCATAATTGTGTTTGGTAAGTAATATATATATATATAAATGAGACCCACAGATTAATTATAATTATAACCAAACATGAGATTAGGTGGTATATCGAACTATTTTACTTAAACCCACCATTCCAAACCTAACCAAACCCATCAAATAAACAGCCTCAGGAGAATTAGATAAAAAATAATGTTATTGAGATTTAAAAATTTTATCTAAATTGTTAACATAATGATGTAGTTTCATTGTAACTGTTAGATTAATACAACATTTTAATGTTTGATGGGATAGCGGGCAATCCAATGACTATAGTAAATTAAGTCAAAAAATTAGTCTTTTAAATTAGGTCACAATAGAATTACTCATAGACAAATCTTTATGTTATAATTTTTTCTATCAAGTTAAATTTTTAAAATTCAACACACATCATTTAGTCTTCATTTCTAGTATTGAGATTTTGGTTCAGTCAATCTTTATCTTACAAAGTTAGGTGTGTAGGTAATACGTTGGAGATTAATGTAGTATTCTGATGACATTTTACCATGATTGGTGGTGTTTTAAAAAAGGTAAAGACCTAAGCTATAAATAGCGTTGAGAGAGTGGCTTAAGAGCATAACCCAAATCCCACTTTGCACTGAAGATGGGAACAAAAGGAAAGGGGTCTACAATGGCCTCTCTTATTGCCACTGTTCTAATGGTGATAGTCTCTCTCAGCCTGCCATCGGAAACCACAGCAAACTACCATTACGTTTCTCCTCCACCACCACCACCAAAGAAATACCCTCCACCACCATCTCCTCCTTACCACTACAAATCACCACCACCACCACCGCCAGTTCATAAGTCTCCACCACCACCTCCACCCAAAAAACCTTACATTTACAAGTCCCCTCCTCCACCACCACCACACAAGAAACCGTACGTGTACAAGTCTCCTCCTCCACCACCTCCAGTCCACAAGTCCCCTCCACCACCACCACCCAAGGAACCATACGTGTACAAGTCTCCTCCTCCACCACCTCCAGTCCACAAGTCTCCTCCACCACCACCACCCAAGGAACCATACAAGTACAAATCTCCTCCACCACCACCTCCAGTCCACAAGTCTCCCCCGCCACCACCACCCTACAAGAAACCTTACAAGTACAAGTCTCCTCCCCCTCCTCCTCCGGTTTACAAATACAAGTCCCCTCCACCGCCACCACCAGTACACAAACCACCACCCCATTACTATTACAAGTCACCTCCTCCTCCTCCTCACCACTACTAAAGAATGGGTTTGCAGTACTTTTAAGGTAATGCACTTTTTTACTTGAGGATGCCTCAAATCTCAATTGTGTTATTTAAAAATTGAAGACTCCTTCTTCAGATCGCAGTGCNCCGGTTTACAAATACAAGTCCCCTCCACCGCCACCCCCAGTACACAAACCACCACCCCATTACTATTACAAGTCACCTCCTCCTCCTCCTCACCACTACTAAAGAATGGGTTTGAAGTACTTTTAAGGTAATGCACTTTTTTACTTGAGGATGCCTCAAATCTCAATTGTGTTATTTAAAAATTGAAGACTCCTTCTTCAGATCGCAGTGCATTTACATAAATCAATTCTAACTACTTAATTATTTAAAAAATGTTTAATTATTATTTTTCTTTCAGAAGGTAATGTTTAATTAATTATAACTACTTGAAAATTAAACAAAATGTGTACCAAATGGTCCAAATGACAAAAGGCTGATATATTCTTGCAGGAAAGATAATATAAAATAAAAAGGGTGGTCGATCGAGTTGCAGAGCTAAGAGAGAGAGAGATCAGAGAATGAAAGCGACCAGATCAGAGGAAACAACAAGAAGAAGAATAAGCGCAAGAGTGTTTTCATTATTTTCCATGTATTTTGAGATATAGCTATAGTGTAGTGCATGCAAGTCCATCCATGTATTTCTTTGTGTTATATGTACCAACTACCAAGCCGTGTGTGTGTGTAAAGGTTTGGTTTTGACGTCTTGCAAATGCGGATGTCAGTTCAATAAAACAACTAGGTTTCCCAAATTTCTCTACTGAGATATGTTTCTTTTAAGGTCGGTTCAATTGCAAAGTTTTGATACTTGCTCAAACTCGATTCAACAAAATCTTGTGACGATAAAATCAAACCCAATTTCTCAACCAAACTTCTCATAAATTAGACACTAAAACTTACTACAATCCCTCAAAGACTAAATAATCAATCATAAAATAAAACCCTAAAAATTTGAAGTTTCCAAAAAATCTATTAGAGAAAAGACTGAGACATAAATTGGTAACTTTTAGCCATAAATCTATTTGAGTCGATTGGATTGATTGGGGCGGAGCCAAAATTCAACCTTAAGGAGGGCAAGAACATGAGTGGAAAAAAATGAAATTAAACCTTCATTTATGTAGACTAAATGAAGAATTAGTTTATAATATACGAAATTTCTAAGTTCAAGTATGGGAAAAAAAAATGCGAATTAGTTTATATATTAATATATTTTTTTCTCCTCCCCCAAAAAAATAAAAATGCGTTCATAATAGATTAATTTTATCCTACAACCGATGAGACTAAAAATTCATCATCCATCTGTTTGGAAGTTTAATTGAAACCATCTTCCCTATTACGAGAAATTGTTTATTTAACGCTCTACTTTTGAAGAGATTTAAATTTATTATTTTGTATTTTGGTCCCTAAAATTGGTCTATGCATGACGACAAAATATTCAATATAATGATAATATTATGTCAGTATTAATAACATATTATCACTAATTAATAATAAAATATTAAATTAATCAAATGAATTTCACTTAAGAAATTATTGATTTACATAAAAAAAAAAGTGAATAATTATTGATTTACGTGTACAAATAATTATTGGCTTGGGTGGGTCTGTTTTCTTATTTGTTTAGAAATTATTGATTGAGTTGCAATGAATACTTTTTCGTGTACGAAAGTGTCGGGTGCAAAAATGAACCGACATAAGCATATTATATATGTATACGCCTATCTGTATCTATTATTGGTTAAGTATCTTTCACTTGACCTGAAAGGTGTACTGTGAGGTGGAGAATTGGGTCAATAGACCATTTAGCTTCTTTTTTTTTTAAATGGGTCAGCCATGATATTTGTTTGGATAAATTACATTCACACCCCGCTAACATTTTATTTTATTACATAGACATTCTCGCATTTTAAAAATAACACTGAACTCTTTTGACATTTAAAACTTGTAACAGTCACACCCATTCCAACTAACAGATGTTAGACTTGTTAACCGTCAAAGTTGATGTCATCAATCATATTTTTCAAAATACCAACAATACCCTTCAAATTTATTCGAACTCTCATTTTTATTAAATCTATANTAAATGGGTCAGCCATGATATTTGTTTGGATAAATTACATTCACACCCTGCTAACATTTTATTTTATTACATAGACATTCTCGCATTTTAAAAATAACACTGAACTCTTTTGACATTTAAAACTTGTAACAGTCACACCCATTCCAACTAACAGATGTTAGACTTGTTAACCGTCAAAGTTGATGTCATCAATCATATTTTTCAAAATACCAACAATACCCTTCAAATTTATTCGAACTCTCATTTTTATTAAATCTATATATGAAATATATAGATTAAAATTTAACAATTAAAATTTTAATTTCTAAATATATTGCATTAATAAATAAAATATTATTATTTTTATTTATTAAATAATATTTGGTACTATTAGTACAATTTAAAAAGTAATCAAATTTTTTTAAAACCGTAATAATTATATAATCCAATTATCCTCATATTATTTTTGTTTATTATTTATCTAATTAGATAAATATTTACTCTTGCCACCCATCACCACCAGTTCCACCACCTAAAACTAATCATAATAAGGGATCCACCACTGTCGTAAACCCCATATTGTAGTAGTGCATCTGCCACCCAACGCATCCAAACACCACTAGCACAGAGACACACACATAGAGAGAGATACAGAGGGAGAGGGGGAGAGAGAGAGACCACAACTAGGGGTGTTCAACCGATAGTTAGGGTCAGAAGTGGCTACTTTCGCTAGCTGATCCGATTATACTCAGAAGTAGAAAAAAAATCGAGCTGAGTTGAATTATAATATCAACCGAACCGATAACCGACCTTGAATGTCAGTCGGTTTACGGGGTTGGATTAAATTCTATTGTAGACCTAAAATTCCTTTAGCCCAAGCCCAATTAATTTGTCTAACAAGTATATAAACTTAAATTGGATCCAAAACATCCTTTTCAAGCCCAGAATTAAATTCAAAAAATGTGTATAAGAAATTAGAGAGCATGAAAAAAGAAAAAAAAATTGATGACAGCGAGTTTCTCACCGCTTTCGGTAGTGAGTTTCTCACTGCTTTCAAGCAGTGAGTTTCAAGACCCAAAAAAAATATGTATAAAAAAAATATGTATAAGAAATTAGAGAGCAGGGAGAAAAAAGGAAAAAAATTGATGACAATGAGTTTCAAGCACAAAAAGAAAAACTCACTGCTTTCAAGCAGTGAGTTTCAAGACCCAAAAAAAAAAATGAATTCAGAAAGATGGATAATCAGAGATAATGAAACAGAGATTTACTAGTCAAAGAAAAAATTGTTGAAATCTGTTTGATAGGGTTGAGATTTGCTCGATAGGGTTGAGACTTGCTCGATAGGGTTGAGATCTATTTCTACTCGATAGTTGATGGCACCATTCGACCTTGAGTCTTCAAATCTGCTTGGTAGGGTTGAGATGTTCTACTCAATCATTGATGTCATTCTGTGGTCGATTGGTGGATCCACGGATGAAGATTTTTTTTTTGGTCAGTCATGGATGAATAATAGAAGAAGAAAAAGAAGAGTTTTTTTGGTTTGAGAAAAGAGAAGAGAGAAGCGGTGGAAAAGAGAATGAGATAGTGAAAGTCTAGGTTAGGTTGTATATATATATTTTTATATTATTATTATATATTATTCGGGCTGGTTGATTATTTCGAGTTTTGGACTTGAAGTATCCACAAGCTGAACTGATTTTATCGGTTAATCTATATTTTCTTCTGAAACTGACCCGATATAAGTATTATCCTCCAATTTTCGGTTCGAAAGATCGATGTAGGTTCGGTTTGTCAGGTATTTTGCACAGCCCTAACCACAACCCATTTAAACAACCTCTGCCTCTTCCACCACTGAAACAACCACCTAGACCAAACTCATCATCAACCATCTCTGTACATGACCCTTCTCCTCCACAATATCACCACCAACTTAGTAACATGCACCAACAATCACGACCATCACCACAACAAAAACGCCTACCACCACCACCACTACCACTACAAAAATGCTTCAGAACTAAAAGATAAAGAGAGGGGAGTTAGGGTTTCAAAATCACCCACATCGCATTAGATCTGAGAGACAAAGAGATGGGAAGTAGGGTTCAAAAACCATTGTTGTCCTTTCGATATCTTAGATTTTTTAAGCTTTGAACCCTTTCAATTCTTCTGTGATTTTGGGTTGATTCTCAGACGATTTTGGGCTAACTGGTTCCTCTACCGAAGGGTGCTATAGTGGTGGAGAGAGGACTAATGATTTCAGGCTAGTTCTTCGCCTTGAGAGAGAGAGAGTCAAAGAGAAAACATTGAGAGCGTTGGGTGCAGAAGACGACGAAGATTAGGGTTGAGGTTAAGGATAGGGCTTGGGGTTTGGGTTTGAGTTAAAGAGAGGGGCAAAATAGTATTTTTATTAACATAGTAATTCCGTCTAACAATTGGGGTTTTAGTGTAATTTTTAAAATGCAAGGGGTCGTCTGTATAATATAGCAAAATTTTTGGGATATGAATGTAATTTATCCTATTTGTTTTTATGTAGTGAAGGTTACATTCGGACTGGGTATACATGTGATTTGTCAAAAGAAATAAACGTTGGAAAAGTCTACCATATCGGAAAATTTTTAATGGTAAAAGTTATAATTGAACGGTAAAATTACGATTGGGGAGAGTCTCATGATCGATCATGGATAATTAAATGTAACTTTTTATTTATGAGTTATAATTAGGGCTGGTCTTAGGCATAAGCAACTATGGTGACTGTCTAGAGCCCTAGTTTTAGAGGGCCCCAAATATTATCAACCTTATTATTTTAATTTTGAGTTGTAAATAGGTCCTGAATTTTAGGCCCTTACTTTTAAAGTCCAAATTAATTTCTAACTTTGTTATAATATCTTTAACAACGACTTAAATTTACACTCAAATTTAAATTTTGAGTTAAAATGCCTAATAAACTTGCTCCAGCATTTGATTTAAATTTATATCAAATCAAGGGACATTCATTTTTTTTACTCAAATCAAAAAAAATTCAAATTTTTATCCAAATATTTAATTGTGAGATTTCAATTTCTTTTAAAAATCTAATTGTCATCTTTATTCTTTTTTAAATTTGAATTTACCCACATTTAAATTTAAGTTTCTCCTTTTTTTTTAAATTTAAGTTTGTCCTTTAGAACCATTTGTATCAAATTAAACTTTTTACTCTAATTTAGACTTAAATTNCTAATTGTCATCTTTATTCTTTTTTAAATTTGAATTTACCCACATTTAAATTTAAGTTTCTCCTTTAGAACCATTTGTATCAAATTAAACTTTTTACTCTAATTTAGACTTAAATTTAAGTAAAAATTTAAGTCATAGTTAGAGATACTCTTATGTCCAAAGATTCTCTCCATTTAATTAAGCCCAATAA